ATCAATGCAGAATGAACCATGACACAAGCAACAGGCACAGAATTTCCGCCACGTTGGGAATTTTATTCCTATTGCCTGTTGCCGATCAATCACAGGGTTCGGATTGTTGAGATTAAATTTACGAATTAGTGTCAACATATTTGTGCATGTTGTACAAGTACAATTCTATTTATTAGCAATATGTTAATGTTATTGTGATCACTCAATGTGTCTCGAGGACAGGGAAGAGAAAGTGTGTTTGAGCGACGGACTGAATGCATTCAACGAAAACTCGTTTAATAAATATTTAAAATGTGGTGATGAATTATTAATTGATATAGTTCGTTCTATGATGAATTATTAATTGATATAGTTCGCCCATATTTTTGTGATAAAACTGTAAAAAATTATAAGAATATGAAAATGAAGGAGGATGTGTGGACAGAAATTGCCAACTTTCCCACGGAGAAATAACATCATGTTTTCGTCATTCACAGCTAATAACCTTAAATATTATTACATTAATAAAACCATATATATACAATATAGACATATACGGGGTGTATAAAAAATACCAGGACGGCGAAATATCTCGAGAACTAAACATTTTTAAAAAACTGTTTCAGAAAAAAAGTTGTATAGTTTCAAGGGGGATATAAAATAACTATATCATTTTATAAATAGCGCCATTTTCGAGATATTCATTGACTGTTCGTTCATTCATTTTTCTTAAATGGAAATCTCACTTTTTTTATTATATCATCTTTTTGTATCAATTAAGTTGGACAACTTTTGTCTGAAACATTTTTTTCTAAAATGCTTAGTTTTATAGATATTTCGCTGTACGCGGTACTTTTGAACGCCCTGTATATGTGATTTACTTTGTTCACACTTACAAACAAAAGTTTCAAAATATTTTAAAACTTTTATTTTATTAGGTAAATATTTAAAAGCTTTAATTAATATTTAATTCACAGCATGAATGCAAAATATGGAAGAACTTAGAACTATGTCACTTTTAGGAGCTTAACTATGATTTACATTTGATTATCAACTATGAATACTACGAAGCACCCAACATAATTTGAACGTTCCGATTGGATGGTTTTTATCGCCATAGCATCATTGTGCATCGGTGACGATAATTTCTTATTCCTTATTTCATTGCCTGTTGCCTGGCATTGTGCAAGAACCTTTAAATGACCATTATCCTTACTACAAAACACTTTCTATCTACTTCATCTTTCTAATATTTGTTCGTCTTTTCTAAATTACCACACCTTCATTTAACTAGCGTCCTCGCGCCTTTATCCATTCCAAACTTATCTAAGTTCTTCATTAAAATTCTCGGAGCCCTCCTTCTACCTTTGTTTCTTTATATCTCTTGTTATACTTTGCACTCGAAGTTCTACTTTCTTCCCATTGTCTCTGTATCTCTTCTTCTCTTTCCATTATTTCTACTTTGAAGTTCGGCTCACTATTTCTTCTATATCTTCCACAGCCTTTATTCTCCACCCGTTTCTCTTACAGAACTTTATCCTTTCATTTCCATATAAATCACTCCAATTCGCTTCCCCTTTTTCTCTCCAACGCTTCTTCACTAAACATTCTTTCTTGCATTTTACTATTTTTCCCTCATTCCTCATTACCTCGTCCAACCCTTAATTTATCCATCACCGGTTCCTTTTCGATTATATACCTTGGTGGTACAAAATCTAGACGAAAATTCATCGTACATGATCCATCATAATTTCTTCCAATTCCTTTTTCTCATCCCGTCCCCCCCCCCCACAACTTCATATAGCACTTTGCACCAAATACTTAAATAATATCCGCCTCTTAAGCTAAATCACCTTTTCCCACATTCTTTTTCCTCTAATCCCCCTAATTCCCCAGAGCTTGTTGGCTAGCTATTCTACCTCTACCGCTCAATTCCTTGACGTGATCCTTATAATTTCCTACCTTATTATTCGCGATGGAAGTGTTGCACTCGCCTGACGTGGCATCTTCCGATATTAAGTTATCGCGTTATCTTAACGGTGTCTTTTTTCCTTTCTCGCGATATTAAATTCCGTCGGAATTGTAATCGCGTTATGGGCGTATAACTCGATCTTTCGGGGAAAAGAACAAGAAATCAAATTCCCGGAGAACTCGGGAATCGTATTTGATATGCGATTTACTCGCAAGTTACAAGAGCGTCTTCGATATCACATCGAGATCGGCTGAGACAGAACTGCAACTTCGTCGTCGTCGGCGTTTGTCGCAGCGCGACAACGAGGAACAGGTGTGTGCTCTTGAGGGGGAAGAGCGAAAGGTGGCGTCGTGAGCACGTCGTGAGATAGACAGTTTCGAGTAACAATCTCCCTCGGGCCGGGTTGTGTCTTCAGCGAAGATCTGCGTTTCTTCCGAAGACGCCGGTTCCTCGTCGTTCCCGTCGCGTGGCAGAATACAAAAAACCAAAGGAATGCGCGTGCGCGCGCGCGCGCAAATATGAGGAGTGTAATTTAGTTTTGAGGGTTTTTTCTCAAAAAGTGATTTATTTAAACACGATAATGAACAAATACCTTAATCAAAATATTTTCTTTCGTTTTCTACAACTTTTTCCCATTCTTCTGGCAAGAGATGGTGGATTCCGCGACGACAAAGAGATTCTTCTTTCTTGGAGTTGATCCAATTTTCAACAAATTTTCGCACTTGTTCCAAATTATGAAAGTGTGTATCCTCTAGAGCAAGGTTTCCCTTGCAACCTTTTTTGTATTTCACACTCCTAAAATTTATTAATGAATCTTCCCATTCCTCACCAAAAAAATGATTCGTACGTTTTATAGCAAAAATTAGTTGTTAGGGTTTTTAAGGTAAGAAGGTTAAAAATAAAAAGACATTCAATTTTTTATTAAACCATAAAGTGTTCAATAATGTATTGTGGAATAATACGTAACATTTATAAATATTTGCCAATCATAAATAAAATACTAGAAAGAAAAAATTTATAGAACTAACGCATTTAATTTATAATAACTTATTATTACATAGTATTGTTTTATAGAAATTAACTATCATTTTAATATTATAAAATTATTATTCATGGTATCAAGCTTCGCATAGTGATACGTAATGAATATATATACATACGTATAGATACGTAAAAAATATATAATTTTAATAACATTTTTTGTTATTCGATGGTAAAATGCTGAATTATCCGAGAATTCATCTTGATCATTATTAATTACAATCACTTCTCGCGTCCCCGCGTCCGGTTGGAAAGCCCTGCTCTAGAATATGTTGCATCGATTGGAACAAGTGACAATCGGATGGAGCAATATCTGGAAAATACGGACGCGAGGTCCGTTAAGATTTAAGACTTTCCATTCCAGCTCTAATAGCGTTTGCTTCACTGACAATACAACGTGAGGTCGAGCATTATCGTGAGGAAGAATCACTTTGCGTCGTTTATTCGCAATTGGTGATTGTTTTTGGTCCAGTACTCGCTTCAATTTCTATAATTGTCGATAACGATCAGCGGCCGACCGAATGACAGTTTCATTCGGATTTAACAGTTCATGACACACAACATCTTCTTGATCCCACCAAATACACAGCAATATCTTTGAACCGTGAATATCGCGCCTCGAAGTGGATGTGTTGCTGATTGGCCTGGATCAACCCATGATTTTTTTCGTTTGGGATTATCGAAACAGATCCCCATTTTCTATCCTCAGTAATAATTCGATGGAAAAAACTTCATTTTTTGTCTGGCGATCAACGAAATGCAAATGTTCAAGCAGTTCGTAATAGCATTTTCCGATAATTGATGTGAAACCCATTTTCCTTCTTTGTGAATCTTTCCATCTTTCGGAAGAGACGTTAAACAGTGGGTCCACTCATAGCCAGTACCTGCCATGAAGTACCTCAGTGCGTACTGACCTATGTCAACCACTTACTTTCATGCCGATCTATAGTGGCTACCTAAGCCCGGCCAACAACCGACTTGAGGAACTTAAAAATGCTCACAGTTCTGGTAACTGCCTCGGAACCTAAAAAACCGAGAAGTATGGTTATTAAAGGAAACAGGTTTCGACCTGGGAAGAAAGAAGAAGGAGGAAGTGAATCCTTCCCATATCATGTAAACATATTTATCAACTGTTGTACAATCAACATTCAATGCTCCGGCAAGTTCTGGAGTGGATTGTGCTGGATTTTCGTTCGATGCTTGCAAATCTGCATTTTCAATCTTTTTTGCTTTTTCGTCCCGAGCGATCGTTGTTGTTAATATTGAAATCACCACTTTTCATCGTCTAAATTCACCAATATTCACGTGTCTTAATTGATGGAGCAACACCACCAGTTCCTATCAGGATTCTACGACCTTTCAGCCACTGTTCTTTTCTGATTGAGAAGCAAAGGCAGCGCATGCTCGAAAGTGCTCTCCAGGAAGCTCCATTTTTAAGATGGTATTAACACGATTTTTACTGCGTCTATTGTTAGCAAATAACTAAGTCGGATCACGGATTAATAATTAGAGCATTAAGAAACAATATCTGTGATTGGAATGTCTTCGTCGACAAAACTGGTATTAGTGCCATCTCTTGCAAAATCCTCAATCAAAATACTAAATCACACTCCTGATAAAACAGTCCGTCAGCAAAAGCGTCATTCGCGATTGGCGAGATGCTCAGGCTGCGATCTACGTACGAAAGTACTGTTGTCGCCGTCCTCATCATCGTCATTATTATCATTATCATCGTCGTTGTCGGCTTCGTCCTTGTCGTCGTCCTTGTCGTTTTTCGTCGCGAATGATCCGCGGAAAATTATCAGAGCCGCTCGGCCAGAATCGCGTTCAGTCGCTGTCTGGCTACCGAGCGGTTAGCTTCGCGTTCTCTCCGTCTCGCGCCGTTCGCCTCTCCCCCACCTACTTTGTCGCAGCTCCCTCTCCCCTCTCCCCACGTTGCCGACCCCCTCCCGAGCGCAGGCTCTCTCTCTCTCTCTCTCTCTCTCTCTCGCTCGCTCGCTCGCTCGCTCGCACCTCATCCTCGCGCATAGGCTCGCGTAATCGCTTCCAGCGTGCTAAATTTAGCGCTGACCGTTGCTTTTGCCGAGCCAGCGGCGTATATAAAGCTCCTCCTCGCCTCCGCCGGCGTTTCCTGCACGCGCGCGCTGAGGTCGCGTCGAGACGCGGAAAAAGCCGTCGCCGTCGCCATCGCCGCGGCACATCCGTCGCGACGGCCCACCTGTGAAGAGGCTTCACCGCGTCCAACGTCGTGACGACCCACGCGGTCCGCTGTTGTCTTTCCCAGAGGACACTTCAGAGAGCAAGAGAGACTCTGCGAAGCGAGAAGGTCGTCGTCGCGCGATCGAGCTGACGATCTGTCACTCGGCGGCGAAGCCAAGACCCGAGAGCGCGCTGTGGGAGAAGGCGTCTCGCGATCGCTCCTGCGACCATCAGACGTGAGCCAAGCGGCAGCAGCAGCAGAAGCAGAGTTTACTAACGCCCGGCGGCGAGAGTGTGTGTGAGACAGAGACAGAGAGAGATAGAGATAGAGAGAGAGAGAGAGAGAACGTTCGCGTTTCGAGGAAGTCGAGGAAGCTCGTCGTGTGTGACTCGTGCGCGGCGCAATTACAACACGCGAGTGCGCCGCGTGATAATCACGCAGCGCTGCGCACAGCGGAGCGCCGCCTGAACTTGGATCCCTGAAGATAAAAAGAGGCCGCGAGTGCTCCGGGCCCGGCGACACACGGGGCGTATTTCCTTCTCCGCCGTCTACCGGCTGACCGCGGGCGATTTCCTGCTGCTCCTCCTCCTGCTCCTCCTCCGAGAAGAAGAACCTTGGATCCTCCGGCGTGCTTTCCGAACGAGCGCGGGGACCGCGCGTGATCCGATCACACGGCGAAGCACGAAATTTGCAAAAAACGCGACGCGCGCGCAGCACCGCCGCCGGCGGCTCTCCGTGGCAATCGAGCGGCAGCGATAAGTCGTGTGTGTGCGTGTGTATGTGTGTACGTGCATGTCGCACTGTAATAAACGCTAAAAATAGCCGCGCTATCGGGCCGCGAGCGGCTATCGGAGCGATAAACATCGCCGACAACACGCTCTCTCGCCATCGCGCTCGACAATAACCGCGGCTCTCTCGCGAGCGGCGATATCGCGGGGGACAAAGGAGAACGCGCGCGCGCGCGCGCGCGAGAGCGAGAGAGAGCGCGATGATCGCGCGATGAGGGGCCCCAAGAAGAGAGAGACCGCGCGTGCCGCTTTTCACGGGTCCCGAAATTAGCAGCGCGGCCTGAGAAAAAAGCCGTCGGACAAAGCGCGCGAGTGTGACATAACAGCGGCAAGTGGCCGCGAAGAAGAAGAAGAAGAAGAAGAAGAAGAAAATTGCCAGGCGCGATTAATGCGCGCTCTTGGATCGGCACGTCCCGCGACGCGCCTTGCGACACATCGCGGCGGCGTTCTAAAAATATCGCCGAAGGACTTTAAAGCAGGATATACACGCGCGCGACCGTCGCGATCGTGTAGCCTCTCGTTCCGGTTGACGGTTGAGACTCTTTCTTCGTCGCATCTCGCGTACGCGTTAGACCGCGCGCGCGTCTCGGCCGGCCAACGAAGGGTGTGAAGTGCGACGTCGAGGGTGTCGCGAGGTCGAAGTTGATCCTACCAGTTGCTCGCGCTCAGCTCGCTCGCTCGCTCGCGTCGCCAAGCCGAGAGACGTGTGACGTGTTTGTCGGCTTCTGCCGTTTTTTCTTACCCACCTGTGCCGGCTGGGCTGGGGTGATCGGGACCGGCGGAAGAATAGTCGCGCGTCGGGAATCATGAGGGTGTACGTGGAGCGAGCGAGCGCGTTCGATCGATATCCGCGCGGCGAGAGCTCGAGCGCGAAGATCGTCGTCGGCGACGGCGGCGGCGGCGGCGGCGCCGGCCGCCACGTCGAGACGATCCACGTCCAGGGCGGCCGGCGGCATGACATTTTACTACCGGACCTGTGTTGTTACATGTGCATAGAGATGGCCAGGGACACGCCGGGCTCGCGGCCGCGGGATTTGGGCGCCGGCGGAGGTGGCGCGGCCACGGCCACCTTGACTTCCGGCGCTTACCACGCCGACTCCGCCGCCAGCCTGCACGACCACGAGCTGCAGCAGAAGATGCTCAAGGTAACGTATGACAGATAACGTATGTGTGGCCCCGCGGAAACGCGGAGCGCCAAGCATGACACAGCATGGAAGCAAGGCAGGGTGAAAAGTGATCGAAGAGAAAGAAACGTCGCGATGATGAGAAATATCCTCCTCTTTCTCCCCAATCATGTTTTTGATTCCTCGGCATACCGTTCACATTTGCGGGCTTGGTGCCGATTCTGCTAAAAAGACAACAAACAGTTAGGTTAGCTTCTTTCCAAACTGTGCTCGGAGAAGAAGTTTAAAATTCACGGTCGGATGAACCCCGATGGGGGGAGGGGGGATGTCAAGGATCGAGGGAAGGGAAGGTTCTGTGGACGACGTTCGAATAGAGAGAAGGAGCGCGAACTCGCGGTTTTTCATGCGGAACTGAAATATTCACACTTTCTCAGGCGCGTTACCGTTATCGGGGATCAGTTTGCGGCGTCGTTGCTGCGTTGGCGAACGATTGATCGCGCGTGGCGCATAGCGTGCCGCGCGCGTCTTTCGCGTGAATATCGTTGTTGAACTGGATCGCGCGCGAGCGATGAGGAGGGATTACCCATTTGCTGCGGAAGCGTGCAGTCGTCGGAACGGCGCGCGGGCCAAGTTTTAGATTACCGCAACTGGCGTGGCGCTCACGGTTTCGGCCGAATTCGATCGATGCAGCCGTGCGCGCGCGCGCGATTTCGTTACATCGCAATTAAGTTCAAGGTCGCCGATACTTCCGCGCGAAGGCCGCGTTTAATGCATCGACGTGAACCTGGCAAACAGCTTAATAGAAAAAGAAAAATTCTCAATACGGTTCGATTGTACTTTGTTTGTGTCTGTATGTACGTACCACCTTTGTTTCGTTTGTACTTTAGAAAATAGAAAGATAGGGGAAGGGGGAAAAATAGCCAGCAAGCAAATATAAGATATCACGAAATAATGGCCGACGCCATTCGAAAGAGAATCGTTTGTACTCGTTTGTTCCTCCCTTCAATGGTACCGGCGGAAGTACGGAATCTTCGAGAAACGTCCAAGAAGTATTTTCGCCAATTTTTGAGATATCGCAATACGGCCAATGCCATTCGAAAGAGAATCGCCAAACGTACAAGCGATTCTCTTTCAAATGACGTTGGCCGTTTTGCAATATCTCAAAAATTGGCGAAAGTATCTCTTGGACGTTTTTTAAAGATTCTATACTTCCGGTTTCTCTGAGATACAAACGACTTGAAGGGAGGTACGAACGATTCTCTTTCGAATGGGGTTGGCCGTTTTGCGATATCTCAAAAATTGGCGAAAGTATCTCTTGAACATTTTTCAAAGATTCTGTACTTCCGATTTCTTTGAGGTACAAACGGATATAAACGATTCTCTATCGAATGGCGTTGGCCGTTTTGCGATATCTCAAAAATTGACGAAAATACTTCTTGGACGTTTTTTGAAGATTCTGTACTTCCGGTTCCTTTGAGGTATGTACGATTTGAAGGGAGGCACAACGGGGGCACAAACGATTCCGTTTCGAGTGGCGTTGGCCGTTTTGCGATATCTTATACTTGCTTGCTGGCTATTTTTCTCCCTCCCCTTATCTTTTTATCCTTCGAGGTACAAACGAAACAAAAAGTGGTACAAACAAAGTACAATCGAACCGTATTGCGAAATTTTTTTTTTTTTTTTTTTTTTTTTTCAAGTTGCTTGCCAGGTTCATATCGGTGTTTAATACCGCGGAGAATCCGTCGGAAAGAAAATTTATCACGTGAGTGTGTGCGAATGTATATGTGCGCGCGCGCGTGTGTATGTGTGTGATGTTAAGTAACCAATAAAGTTTATGCTGTTTTAATATACAGAGTGTATAAAAAGTACCGGGCGGACGGCGAAATATCTCGGAAACTAAGCATTTTAGAAAAAAAAAAATGTATCAGACAAAAGTTATATAATTTCAAGGGGAACGTGAAACAATTATATCATTTTGATTACAGATAGCGCCATTTTCGAGATATTCACTGAACATCATTTTTTTTCAACGGAAATCTCCATTTTTTATTACATTTTTTTCGATCAATTAATTTGAACAACTTTTGTCTGAAATGTTTTTTTATTTACCTAATATTTTTTGAGATACTTAAGTAACTTTTAACTTTATTATTTAACTTACGACATCTCGCTTTGTTGGAAGGAAAAATAATACTAGACTTTTTTACTTTATTTGGTCTCAAAAATATATTGTTACAATAACATCTTGACTTATGTTAATTTGACGATTTTTAAATTTCCAAAGATTGACGGTTAGTAAGATATCCTAAAATTAAATATTGGAAAAGTTATCAAGTTTTCCTTAAATATTTCAAGAAATATCAGGCTAAATAAAAAAATGTTTCAGACAAAAGTTGTCCAAACTAATTAGTAGAAAAAGGAGATATAATTAAAAATTGGGATTTCCATTTAAGAAAATAATAATAATCAGTGAACATGTCAAAAGTGACACCATTTATAAACAAAATGATATAGTTGTTTCATGTCCCTCTTGAAGCCATGCAACTTTTATCTGACCCATTTTGCTTTAAAATGCTTAGCTTTCGAGATATTTCGCTGTCCCGGTACTTTTTATACACCCTATATGCTTTAATACACGCGAAATTTTAAATAATTAATCTTCGTAAGTGTTATACACTTAAATTACCAGTAAATTAAAGTAAAAATATATTTGCAGACAGGACAAGGAGAAGAACGATTCTCTTTTGTTTTTCTTCTTAACAGAATCAACGCCAGTCCTTTTTAATTTCATTGATATTATCGGTTAAAAAAATGAGGCCAAAACCAGAGAAAGAGAAGGATAAAAGGCCCCAGCAAATTCTTGGTTAAACAAGCTTTTGTTTAAGCATACATAAGCACACACTCTTAACCGATGATGTGCGCACCTGCGGTTTGACCAAACCTCAAAACGGCTCAAACTTTGTTGGTTATCTAATATACAGGGTGTCTCAGACCACTTCGTTAATTTTTTGTGGAGACAGAGAGAGAGAGAGAGAGAGAGAGAGAGAGAGAGAGAGAGTGGGTCGAAGCGAATAGAAAAATCCTCTAGTCTTCTGCGAAATTCGCGATAGTTATCGAGTTATTAATTATAGAAATCTGAGGAGGAGTGATGCGCCGATAACAGTTGCTAGATCAATTGAGCCGCGCTATAACCCGAGTAGCTGTGATGCTTCCTTAATCATTCATCGCGACGCGCGCTCGCTCGTCAGATTTCTACAATTAATTAACTCGATAATTATTGCGAATATCGCGAAACAGTTTGGGACTTTAACTCGCTCTACATCCCTACGAGCTCTGGTACCATTGTTCCATTGTATACTCTGTATATGTACACGCACACTTATATGTGCGCGCGCGTTATCCGCTGCAACTGCGGCGTATTATTCGCCGTAGTGCGAATGAGGCGGAGTCCTCGCCACGAAAACAATACTCGGGGAAAATCCACGCGGAAAATTTCTGATGCAATTTACAGGGCGTAACCAAGATCCGCTGACGATTTAAGCGACGTGTAGCTTCTTCAGTCATTTACAATCGGCGAAGTTCGCGCCGGCGTGTCTCACCGCTTCGACGACACGTTTCGATTTTTCGGACATTATCTCTCTCCGATTTCACGGCGGGAAATAACGAAGGAGGATACTCTCTCTCCGCATTGCGTCAGCGAAGCGAGTAATGAAGGCTCTCTCATGCCAACGATGTTGCGAAGAACCCCCTCCCCCCCCGCCGCCACCCTTCCATCACTCTCGTGTCACGATATCGCGAGTTTCTTCGTACATATATTATTCCGAGCGCATATTTCAATTCATCGATCCGATCGTTTTACTCTGAAGGAAAAAAATTAGGAAAAAAAGCCGTCGCAAACGCGATGAAAAAGTCAGCCAGTTCATTAATTCACCGACAGTCGGCGCCGCGAGCGTTCGATGACGACGAATAATTCGCACGCTTACGCGAGGGAGAGAAAGAGAGAAGAAAATAAAAAGATCTCGGCTCTCCGACGGTGTGTAGCGTTTGTCATTAATCCTTTAGCTGTTAGTGACGGAAATATCCGCGGAAAGAAAAGTGTACGCCATCTTGAATCGTTACTTTCCGTCAGCCTTCACGTCATTCTCCGACTCCGTATCCGCAATCTCGCAATTTTTCTTCTCGCAATTCTGTTCTCTTGCCGCGAATATCTCCGCCATCGACAGCCAAGGGGCTGTCCAAATTAAAGCTCGGCATTTAATGGTCGTCCTCTGCGTGCCGATCGTGTCCCCGACAGCGACGCGACGCGTAGTGAGGCGTCGTTTACAATGGCAGCAGGAGTAGATTAGGGCTGTAAGAAGGACGTCGAAGTAAACTGGTTTTTTCCCAGGAACATAGGGCGCAGACTAAAGGCTCATCTACAATGGCTGCAAGAATAAGGTTGGAAGCGTAAGCAGTAAGAAATGGACCAACCATAATCGATTATTCTTATAATAATACCGAAATAGTTGAATTCCATTTCCCACGGTTTGCTCCCTTATTCTCCAGCCAATGAAAGTTCGGCAGCGACGCATAAATGTGCGCGTCGACGCTGATTGGCTTGTTGTAATATTTACTGCACGACCCATTGTGGACATTGAAGGCGTAAGAAGACCTTGTTTCTACAGCCTAAGGTTCATATTCTGAACTCTCTTTTATCTCTAAAAGTGGTTTATAAGCCTCCTGATTGGCTGTAAGCCACATTTAGAGACATTTAGTGATGAAAGAGAATTCAGAATATGAGCCTATGTCTAAAAACCATTCTCTTCATCTACTAGTCTTGCTGTCATTGTGGGCCACGCTTAAGACTGACAAGTAACACTACCCAAGTGCCATTCTTCTTGAGCGCCGATCTTCTTGAAACTTTGCACATACGTAGTACATCGAAAAATGCCAGACACGTATTTTTTTATGAGCTTTTACGATATTACTCTATTATAATTTCATTGTCTGAATGTTTCTGAGGTCGCTAATTACGATTTTGA